TCATCCTGCCCGCTTGACCTGTCCGTCCTCCCTGGACTGACCTATCTCCTCCCTACCTCCCCACCTACACTCACCTTTACTGGCTCCATCCCCGCCTCTTTGACCTGTCTGTCTCCTCTCCACCTATCTTCTCCTCTATCCATCTTCTATCCGCCTCCCCCTCTCTCCCTATTTACTTCAGAACCCCCTTCCCCTCCCCCATTTCTGAAGAAGGGTCTAGGCCCAAAACATTAGCCTTCCTGCTCCTCTGATGCTGCTTGGCCTGCTGTGTTCATCCAGCTCTACACCTTGTTATCTCAGATTCTCCAGCATCTGCAGTTCCTGCTATCTTTGATAAGATTCCATCCATTAGGTCAGATGATCAGAAGATTGGTTAAAAGGTAGAAGAATCTTAAAAGAGGAAAGAAAGGTGAGAGGTGTAGGAAGAGCATTCCAAAGCGTGGAGTCCAGTCACAAAATGCATAGCCATCAAATGTGGAGCAGTTATGAATTACAGAGATAAGGTAGGACAAAACCATGGACAATTTTGAAATGATGGATGAAAATTTAAAAATCAAGACATTGCTTGAGCTAGAGTCAATGTGGGTTAGCAACCATATAGGTAAATAAATGGGGCTTGAAGCATGTTAGGACACAGACAGATGCAGAAAATTCAGCTGACTACAAGCTTACAAAGTTGGGTATGTGTGTGAAATACAGGAGTGCATTGGAATTGTCAAATCCAGACATAACAGAAGCCTGAATAAGGGCTCCAGCAGCTGATGAGCTGAGCCAGATTCAAAATCAAATTATGTTATAGAGGTGAAAAGAGACAGTCTTAGAGACAGCATAAAGCCAAGGTCAGAAGCTCATCTGAGGACCAAATGTAACACTAAAGTTGTGAGCAGACTTGCCTAATCTCACATTTTGCCAGGAAGTGGGATTGAGTTGATATTAAGTGACAGAATTTGAATCATAGACCAAAACCAATGCTTCAGTCTTATGAGTACTTAATTGGAAGACACTTCTGCTCTTCCATGATTGGATTCAGATAGACTGTTTCCAATTTAGCCAAAGTAGAGGAATCAAGAGAAATGGCAGTGACATACAGCAGTATACTGCCAGTATATATCTGAAAAGTAAGGAATATCACATGAGACAGCATGTAGATCAGAAATAAGAGCTGGCCAGTAATGATGATCTACAAATACATAGATAAGAATCAAACTTTGCGAAAATAATCTCACTCAATGATAAAGTGACAAATATGCTCACTTGTTGCTGATGAGTCCACCTTAAGACAAAAATGCAGGTGAAGTTTGACAAGATCATTAGCTACAGTTTTAACTCAGACAGGCTGGAGGAGGCCAAAAAAGAATCAGGATGTGAAAAATCCCTGAAAGGTAAAATCTTACTTTCTTTTGTGAGCAGAGAAGTAGAACTGGCCCTATAGGCTCTGCCCTGCCTTAGAAACCACACTTCTCCAAACATGCAACTGTATAAAGTTTTTGAGAAGATTTGTAGCTTTGGTTGTGGATGAGTTTGTAGACTTGCTCGCCAAGCCAGTGTGTTTGGTTGTAGACGTTTTGTCACTTTGGTAGGTAACATCATCAGTGCACCTCCGGTGAAGCGTTGGTGTTCTGTCCTGCTTGTTATTTATATGCCTAGTTTGCTAGGGTGGTTGGCATTATTTCCAGTTGTGTTTTTCAGTGGTTTGTATATTGGGTCCATTTTAATGTGTTTGTTGATGGAGTTCCGGTTGGAATGCCAGACCTCCAGTAATTCACTGGCATGTCTCTATTTGACTCGTGATATTTTGGATGTGTTGTCCCAGTCGAATTCATGTCCTTCTTTGTCGGTGTGTATTGAGACCAGTGAGAATTGGTCATATCTCTTGGTGGCTAGTTGGTATTCATGTATCCTTATTGTCAGTTTTCTTCCAGTTTGGCCTATGTAATGTTTTTCACAGTCCTTGCATGGTATTTTGTTTATTACATTAGTTTTATTGATTGTGGGTATGGGATCCTTTACGTTCGTCAGTAGCTGTCACAGGGTGTTGTTGGTTTGTGGGCTACCCTGATACTTAGGGGTCTGAGTAGTGTTGTGGTCATCTCTGATGTCTTTGATGTACTGTAAGGTGACGTGTGTGTCTGGCTGTGTTGTCTCTGGCCATCTTCTTGTCGTGGTCTGTTGTGGAGGTAACAGCGGATTGTGCTTTTTGTGTATCCATTCCTTTTAAAAACTCCGTGTAAGTGCTCCTGTTCTGCTTTGTGCAATTCCGGGTTGCTGCAGAGTGTTGTGGTCTGTTTGAATAATGTTCTGATGCAGCTCTGTTTATTGGTGTTGGGCTGGTTGCTGGAGTAATTAAGCATCTAGTCCGTATGTGTGGTCTTTCTGTATACGCTGGTCTGGAGTTCCCCCTTGTTCTTACATTCAACCATTACGCCTAGGAAGGGTAGTCGGTTATTGTTCTCCTCTTCTTTTGTGAATTTTATTCCGGTGACCATGTTGTTTATGTGTCAGTGGGTTTCTTCTAGTCTTGTTCGTTTGGTAATCACAAAGGTGTCATCTACATTGCAGATTTGGGTTGTATAGTGGGGAGCGCTGTTGATTCTAACCTTTGCATTACTGCTTCTGCAGTCAGTCCTGATATTCGGGATCCCATTGGTGTTCCGTTGATTTGTTTGAATATACGGTCACTGAAGGTGGATTTGGCTGTGAGGCACAGATCCAGCAGTTTCGGGGTGCTGTGTGTGTTGATGCTGTTGGTATCGTGGGGTCCCTGCCTTCCTGATTCGCCCAGCAGTGTGGCAGTTGTCGCTTTGGCTCGGTCAATGTTTATGGATGTAAATAGTGCTGTTACATCAAAGGATATCATTCTGTCGTCCTCGTCTATTCTGGTGTCCTTGATGATGTTGAAGAATTCTTGGGAGGAGTGGATAGAGTGGATAGTGTTGTCAACTAAGTATTTCAGTTTCCATTGTAGTTCTTTGCCAAGTCTATATGTTGGCGTGCTTGGTAGTGAGACAACAGGTCTGAGGGGGACCCCTGCTTTGTGTACCTTGGGGAGTCCATAGAAGCGGGGTGTGTTGGAACCCTGTGGCTTCATTTTTTGGTAGTCTGTCTTGCTGATATCTCCTGAGTTGAGTAATTTCTTCAGGGTTGTTTTGATCTGGTTCTCTACCTGTGGCATTGGGTCTATTGCCATCTGTTGGTAGGTGTCAGTATCTGCTAGTAGTGCGTCAGCTTTCTCGATGTATTGAGCTTCATTAAGGATTACTGTCAAGCATCCTATATCCGCTGGTAAGATTACAATATTTCTGTCTTTCTTGCGTCTTTACAGGGCTTCTGTGTTGACTGTTTCCACTTACCTTTTCTGCTCAGTTTTGGCACTATTGTCTGTCTGATGGTCTATTGTATTTCCTCTGTGAATCTGTTGTTCTTTAGTGTTGATTCCACTGCAGCCAGGAAGTTAGATTTTTTGGTATCTCTGTAGTTACAACTAAGTCTGCAGACTAGGACAGTCTTGTCAGTGTCTGTAAGTGGTCAGTCTGAGATGTTCTTGATCCATGTTTCTGTGTTGTCCATGTCATTGTTGTGGGTGAGTTTCGATAGTTTTTGTTGGAAGGCTTTCTTTTTTTTATTCTGGTTTTTTGTTGTTGTATGGTGATGGCTTGTTCCAGTGTGGTTGTCAATACTTGGTCGGTTGTGTTGGAGTATAAAGTTTTTTGGCACGCAATTTCCTGCTCATATTTGTGGAGGCGATTGTAGGCATCCATTGATATATACTATATGGAGTTATATATTATAACTTATACAAAGATTTTAAAAGGAATGGATACCCAAAAAGCACAATCCGCTGTTACCTCCACGACAGACCACAAACAAGAAGACACAACACAGCCAGACGCACTAGATACACTATTGTACAACAGAGACATCAGAGATGTCCACAAGACTATTCAGATCCCTAAGTATCAGGGTAGCCCATAAACCAACAACACCCTGTGACAGCTACTCATGAATGTCAAGGATCCCATACCCACAACCAATAAAACTAATGTAATATAAAAAATACCATGCAAAGACTGTGAGAAACATTACATAGGCCAACCTGGAAGAAAACTGACAATAAGGATACATGAACACCAACTAGCCACCAAGAGACATGACCAATTCTCACTGGTCTCAATACACACCGACAAAGAAGGATATAAATTCGACTGGGACAACACATCCAAAATAGTACGAGCCAAACAGAGACATGCCAGAGAATTCCTGGAGACCTGGCATTCCAACTAGAACTCCATCAACAAACACATTGAACAGGACCCGATATACAAACCACTGAAAGACAAAACCACCTCAGCAAACTGAGGCATATAAATAACAAGCAGGACAGAGCACCAACGCTTCACCGGAGCGAATTGACGATATTACCTAGCAGGGTGATGAAACGTCTGCAATCAAACACACCGGCTCGGCGAGCAAGTCTACATCCTCATGTAACTGCATGTCACAGTCAGTCCTGGCTAACCAGTTTTCTGCACGCTGGTGGCCACTCAAAGCCCATTTTCAGTTTGTTTCTGGCAAGCTGATAATGGGACAGGGTTATTAAAATCATAGTTATTTCATGCTCCAACTGGAGAAAAATTAATTAATCAATGTGGTTTATAATCAGAAACATGCCCAGAATTAAAATCTCTCCATTAGTTTGTGATGAAAGACTTGGACTTTTAAGTAACATTAGCTGAAGATTTTCATAAAGTAAAATTTATTAGGCAGGACATCCCTTCAAAGGGAATTAATGATATTCTGAAAAACAGCCATACTTAACTGAAAGAGTTAACCATTTCTTGTCTCCACAGGTGCTGCCCGACCTGCTGAGTTTCTCCAGCATTTTCAGTTTTATTTCAGATTTCCAGCATCTGCAATTCAATTTCAATTTGTGTTGTTGAAATTATATTCCTTGTATGACCTCTCTAAACCTATTCTCCATCAGCTGTGGTTCTTACAGTGAAATATCTGCCTGCTCGGCTTAGTGGTATTTGAGTAGTAGCACTTATCTCTGCATTGTTAAGAATCTGCTATAGCATTGTTCCTTTATCAAACATTCTCTATATTAACCTTTATGGTAAATTTATAGGAAAAATGTTATTTAAACATGGGGTTAAAAAAATTGATTACATTTTACTAATTATGCTGAAGAACATTAAAGTTGGGAAATGGAACTCTTTCTGTCAAGGCAATCAATGTCAAAGAGCAATCAAATTAATAATTAGTAATTAGTAGATAGTAAGGTTAGGAGCTTATTAAAAGCCAGGCATTTTTATCCTCATAACATATGCCAGAAATGGATTTCTGTCAATGTCAGAACGTTTTTCATTGCCAGAATCATCAAATTGATAGCCTGACTTAATTGCTGAATTGGGATGGTACAGTTAGGAGGCTCCATAAATACGAGGAACTGGATTCAAACCACCCATTGTACCCTCATTTACGGCTATTTCCTGGGGTTCTAGCAATGATCCCTCGTGTAAGCCTCATTCTAAGACAGACTGAGATTACTTTTCTGGTGGTACTGCTGGTACTGGACCAGCCTCTGATACGTCAACAGCTATTACAGGCAGATTATCTCTCCAGTGCCATGATTTCTGGATGAAAATTCCCCTCAAAGGAGGCAAGAAGCCTGACAGCAGGTAGATCAGTGGGACTGAATCGGTCCCTCTGGAAATAGCTAGAACACAGTTGTCAGCTGGTTGATAGGCTCAACACCATGACCAATAAATTCCACTTGACTGTTTCAGTTTGTTTACCTTACAGAAATGTTTTTGTTTTAATGGTAAATTTTAATCCTTTGCTGCACATTCCAATACACATTAAGCATCTTACGGCATTATTTGAAGAACAAAGTGGTGTTCTCCAGTATCCTCCCCGAGTCAAAACGATCAAAAATAGATTAATTGACAGTTCCTTTCATTCACCATTAGTAACATTATTGATTACACGTTAGGTTTCCTTATTCTTTATGAAACCTATGAAACCTAAGCAACTATTGTTTAAAATATTATTTTAGTAATGGAGAATATATGGGAATACTCCGACACTATCTCATTTCCTCTTGACTTATCTGTCCAATGTTAGGACCAACTCCCAGTGCTGTGACCTCCATTACGAGTAAGGGAAGGAGACAGGACTCAGGGGAATAGTGATCATAGCCATACAGCTGGTATGAACCTGATCCACACCACTGTTCAGCCAACTGAGACAGCCTGTCTTCCAATGAAGCTGAGTTGCTGTGGCAATGTACACTTCTGCATGCATGTTCTAGGGAGTTGTGAAAAGTGGTGGTAAAGACTCCACTTTCTTTGCAATACATTGCTGACAAGGAATCTCTGCCACCTTTACTATCTGCCATTGGCATATGTTGGGAAGACTTACAAGTTGATACACAACACATTTGGAGATGTCTTGAAATGCACCTTTCTGATTCTGATTCCAGTTAACGTCCTGACCAATCAGAGTCAATCTGCTTGGTTTAAAAATTAAACAGAATATGTCTGAACCAGAATTCACTTGCCAACAAATCACTGTCTTCTCAGGCAATAAAAATATTGGTTTTCCTCTTGAATTTGTATTCTTGTGAAATGTCCTGATGAGTGCAAGATGAAATGTTTTGACAAATGTCTTTTTCAGCAATACTCAAGTTCAATATTTTCAAATCTGAAACACAACATCTAATTACTTTGCCCTAACATAATTTTGCAGAGATTAAATGTTGCTCTTAGTGTCTTCCACATGTGCAATTATGGTGTCTTTAAATTTTCAGTTCAAGACCAAGCTTTGAATGAATCACCATCCCTTTCATTAGTGAATGAAGCCCAGTATCTTCTCATAAACATGGCAAGCGTTCTACACATCAAAGAACAATTATTACAACGGTAAGATTTATCCAGGAAGGACACTTCCCTCATCGGGAATAAAACATTGCAAAATAATCCCAAACTAGTGATTGGAACCAGGTGGATCTCATTAACTCTCATTATGAGGTTCTTGATTGATTCATTTAGCCAGGCCAATCACGGAGGTCTTGGCTGACCAATAGAACCAGGAGATTTGAATCTCCTCAATTGAGTACTGAGCTTAGGGAACACCACTCCAGTGTAGGTAATCACAGAGCCTCATGCAGGGCATGTCTGAGCAGAGGAAATCTAGGCCAGACCACAGCAGAACCCCACAACAAAGTCGAGCCTCGGCCAAGTGGATAACAGTTGTTCAGGATCTGGGCCGGCAAGCCATTGAAGTTGCTGTTGGTATGTGGTCTCAAGAACAGTAAAGGAGTTCTACAAGGCCTAACTTGAGTAGAAAAACATGGAGGCGAATACTCAGGAGAATGCACACCTTAGAAAGTTCCACTACATGCCAGTGGAATAATTAAATTGCTTAGTGCCACCCAAATCAGAACTGATTAAAATTAATGTTTCGTTAAATGGTCACCCAGTTGCCATGGAGGTCGCTTTCGGCACTGCTGTATCTGTGGTTGCAGATTCTGTCTTTAACAAGATTCGCTTGGAACTCCAACCTTTAAACTTGTACACGTTCTCAGCCAGACTGAGAACCAATACTGGGGAAATGTTGCAAATTAAGGGTACGAGATAACACAGTGTGGAGCTGGAGGAACACAGCAGGCCAGGCAGCATTCAAGGACCAGGACAGTTGACGTTTTGGGTCGGGACCCTTCTTCAGAAGTGGGAGAGGAGGAAGGGAGCTCTGAAATAAATAGAGAGGAGGGGTGGGGCTGGGGAAGGTAGGTGGGATGGTGATAGGTGAGTGCAGCTAGGGCATGGTTGGGATTGGTCAGTGAGGTGGGAGGAGTGGATAGGTGGGAGAGAAGATGGACAGGTTGTGTCAGGTCAAGGAGGCGGGGATGAGGGAGGGTTGGTCATGGGATGAGATCGGGGTTGGGGAGATTTTGAAACTGGTAAAGTCCACATTGAGACCCATTGGGTTGTAGGCTCTCAAGGCAGAAGGTAATGACTTTGGTTCCAGTCTCCTGTGAGAACCAGTTGGTGCAGTTACCACATGTAGGGTTCTGTTTTGCGATCAGTAATTTGCTGATTTTTAGGTGGTTCGAATTAACCCCAGATCCCTGGTTCTGACACCTGACTTATTTAGGAATATGAAATGAAGAATACAGTAGACAGGTGTTTCAGGGCAAAAGAATCCTCTGCATTTATTTAATACAAAATGTATGTATAATACAAGAAATAAACGCAAATATAATAAACAGTGAAATTGACACAATCAGCTGTAGAGGACAGTAATTAAATACACTATTAAATTAGACATAGGTTAAACACTATTAGAAGCTAAACAGCAATTTTAATTACAAACTTTTATCAGGCGTCCTACCCTTGGGGTTCCTTGCACTGTCACCACCCGCCTTCCCCTCCCTGCGAGCTAGGTTGGAGAATTTGGGGTCTCCAGAGTTTAAGCTCACCACTGGGGAAAAGCACAGTTTTGAAGTACACCTGGCTGTTCCCACTTACCGCATGCAGTGCATCGATGAAGACTTTGGACTGTGTCGGCCTTCAGCCTGGGTTGAGTCTGCTAACGCGGTAGGATGCTTATTTGCATTTATTGGGTGAATACTTGGTTTTCTTTACTTGCTGGTGGTTTTGCAGGCCGGTTTTCACCTCAGGATGTGTTTGAAGCCTTGTGGTGTAGGTCAGGTTGGTGAATTTCGGGATTGGTTGGTTCTCAGGTCTGCTGGTCGTGGTCGGGTGCTACTGGTTCCCTTAGCGCGGAACAGGCCTGGGTCGGTAGTTTTCGGAATTGCTGTTGAGATCCCCCTTCCGGACAGGAAATAGCAGCTGGAATTAGCTGTTGGAATTCTTCTTCTGGGGATCGCTGTTTGGAACACCTCCTGGGAATAGCTGCTGGGGCATTGCTGTCAGGGAGATAGCTGTTTGGGATCCCTCCTCTGGAGATAGCTGTGGGGATAGCTCCTTCAGGTGAGATCGGGGCTTGCAATTATACTGATTGTGGGCCTCATTTCTTTGCACCAAATCTGTGCTTGCCGTTGTGTTACTGGTCTTCCCTTTGAGGTCAATTAGCTTCCTGATAGTTAAGATTATGTGTAAATAGGTTTTGGTTGAAGTTGAATGCCTGATATCTCTATGCATGAATATTGATTGAGGGTGAATATCTGGCATCTGTATAGGCTCCATAATGTCTGTATTGGGTAACCTCAGGTGTAAAAGTTAGTTTCGGTCTAGAGTGTAAGGTTTAGTTGATTGCTATCTCAGAGTGGAGGTGTAAATTGTTGCAGAGTTCCAGCTAAACTCAAAGCAAGCTGGAAGAACAACACCTCATTTTCCGCATGCAGCCCTCCGAACTTAATATTGAGTTCAATAATTTTAGGGCCTAAACTCTCCCATGTCCTAGCCCCCTACCCCATACACCAGGCCTTATTATCACATAGACTGCCATTACACACTACCTATTCTTAGTCACTAACAGTCCCCATTAACAGCTATTCGCCCTCCTAGCCAGATCGTTATCAACTCCTTTGTCTATCCAACTGCTCTTCTCTCTCTTCAGGCTCTATCCTATCATTTACTCACTACTTCATCCCCCTCCCTATTTTCTGCATATAAACCAACATTTTCCCAGCTACCATCAGCTGTGAGGAAGGGTCACCAGACCCGAAACATGAACTCTGATTTTTTTCTTCACAGATGCTGCCAAATCTGCTGAGCGTTTCCAGCAACTGCTGTTATTGTTGTTGTTGTTGAGGTTGTAAATTGGACTTCCAAGTTGAACAATAGTCCCAGACAAAAATCATACTGGCTCTGTGTGTATTTGTTGTAGCTTGAGCTCAGGATCTCGTCCAGTATTTTAGATGATGGAGACTTTTGCTCAATCCTTCACATTGATGTAGTAAAAGGTTCTGGCCCAAGCCTATTGGGACAGAATTGGTTGAGCAAGATTCACCCTAATGGGTTCAACATTTTTCGATTGGAAAATGGCTGCCTCAGTGAAGTCCTAGGGAAATACCCAGGAGTTTTTCCAGAAGGGCCTGGAACTATCAAAGGGGCCAAAGCCATTTTACATGTTGACCAGGAAGCAATTCTGAGATTTTTCAAGGCCAGCCCAGTGTCTTTTGCCTTGTGGGCAAAATGGAGGTGGAAATCAGGAGGCTGGAGAGCGAAGGAATCATCAAACCAGTGCAATTTACAGAATGGGCAGCACCGGTCATATAGATTATAAAACCTGATGGCTCTGTTCGCACTTGTGGGGATTTTAAGCAAACAGCAAACCACTTTTCGCAGCTGAATAAATACCCGATCCCTCGCATAGAACATAGAACACAGAACATTACAGCGCAGTACAGGCCCTTCGGCCCTCGATGTTGCGCCGACCTGTGAAACCAATCTGAAGCCCATCTAACCTAAACTATTCCATTATCATCCATATGTTTATCCAATGACCATTTAAATGCCCTTAAAGTTGGCGAGTCTACTACTTTTGCAGGCAGGGCATTCCACGCCCTTACTACTCTCTGAGTAAAGAACCTACCTCTGACATCTGTCCTATATCTATCACCCCTCAATTTAAAGCTATGTCCCCTCGAGCTAGCCATCACCATCTGAGGAAAAAGGCTCTTGCTGTCCACCCTATCTAATCCTCTGATCATCTTGTATGTCTCTATTAAGTCACCTCTTAACCTTCTTCTCTCTAACGAAAACAGCCTCAAGTCCCTCAGCCTTTCCTCATAAGACCTTCCCTCCATACCAGGCAACATCCTGGTAAATCTCCTCTGCACCCTTTCCAATGCTTCCACATCCTTCCTATAATGCGGTGACCAGAACTGTACGCAATACTCCAAGTGCGGCCGCACCAGAGTTTTGTACAGCTGCAACATGACCTCATGGCCCCGAAACTCAATCCCTCTACCAATAAAACCTAACACACCGTACGCCTTCTTAACAACCCTATCAACCTGGGTGGCAACTTTCAGGGATCGATGCACACGGACACCGAGATCTTTCTGCTCATCCACTCTACCAAGAATCTTACCATTAGCCCAGTACTCTGTATTCCTGTTACTCCTTCCAAAGTGAATCACCTCACACTTTTCCGTATTAAACTCCATTTGCCACCTCTCAGCCCAGCTCTGCAGCTTATCTATGTCCCTCTGTAACCTGCAACATCCTTCCGCACTATCCACAACTCCACCGACTTTAGTGTCATCCGCAAATTTACTAACCCATCCTTCTACGTCCTCATCCAGGTCATTTATAAAAATGACAAACAGCAGTGGCCCCAAAACAGATCGCCACGGTACACCACTAGTAACTGAACTCCAGGATGAACATTTCCCATCAACCACCACCCTCTGTCTTCTTACAGTTAGCCAATTTCTGATCCAAACTGCTAAATCACCCTCAATCCCATGCCTCCGTATTTTCTTCAATAGCCTACCGTGGGGAACCTTATCAAACGCTTTACTGAAATCCATATACACCACATCAACCGCTTTACCCTCATCCACCTGTTTGGTCACCTTCTCAAAGAACTCAATAAGGTTTGTGAGGCACGACCTACCCTTCACAAAACCGTGTTGACTATCCCTAATCAAATTATTCCTTTCTAGATGATTATAAATCCTATCTCTTATAATCCTTTCCAACACTTTACCCACAACCGAAGTAAGGCTCACTGGTCTATAATTACCAGGGTTGTCTCTACTCCCCATCTTGAACAAGGGGACAACATTTGCTATCCTCCCGTCTTCTGGCACTATTCCTGTAGACAATGACGACATAAAGATAAAAGCCAAAGGCTCTGCAATCTCCTCCTTAGCTTCCCAGAGAATCCTAGGATAAATCCCATCTGGCCCAGGGGACTTATCTATTTTCACACTTTCCAGAATTGC